CCTTTGACAAAGTAGATCAAAGTACAGTGGTTTCAGAGTAGAAAGCACTGTCACCGTCACCCAAAGATGTCCTTTATATGGGGTCCTTTTAAACATTTATAAACCACCTTTTGGGGATTGTGCCATTTACTCTGAAACCACTGTAGTGAAGACTCAGACCTTTTATGTAAAAAGTGTATCAACAGCATGATGATTCAGTACACTATTCTGACCTTTCGTGGGACCTCTTTTGGACCTGATTGGAAGCAATAGACATGATTAAGATTAAGCATGCTCAGGGGACTGTATTGCCAACATGTTTGATTATTTTTGATCCAAACTTCATTAGAGAGCATTGTTTGGGTCCTGGAAGAGGTTGAAGGCTCAGAGAATCTTGGAGCAAAGCCAAACACCACACAGAGATCCCTTAGTGTCGGACAACATGTTGGATCTTTGGGCCCAACGAAGTCGAAATACCGGTCGACGACCCGGTACCGGTCGACCCGTACCGACGTCGTCAGGTCCGACGATGTCCGTGGAGAAGTGGATCCACGAGCTGCAAAAGGCCGAAAGGCGACGGGGTGTGCGGAAGCATGTCCCCAGGAGCGCAGAGTGGGTGGCCTTAGAGGATCTCATAAGGTCTCAAGGGCGAAAAGGAGCCTGGAAGTCCTGTGGTTGGGACAGGTGGGACAGGTTAGGGCATGTAAGGTTGGGGAGTGAAGACATGTCAGTCTCAAAGACGAAGAAGAGCAAAGTATTGGCCAGTATGGCTAGCTTGGATTGGAAGACTTTGTTTTGTGGTTGATTCTTTAAACATCTATAGATTCTAGATGGATCCAAGTGCAACTCAGAGGCACTGGGATTTGCAGCTGTCGTTCGCACCAGGACCAGGATTCCTAGTTATGATGTATATTCACAAGCTTAACTGGATGCACTGGGCGAGAGATCTGTTTTTTGTGTTACTTCCTGTTGTATGTTTAGACTGGGGCGAACCAACAGGGCAGGAATACCAGAACTCCTCAAGCAGCCTGGCAAACCATGGACGAGACGATGGAAGACGAGACGGGACGTTTGTGACAAGCCTGTGACAGTTTATTTGAACCATCAATTTGCACCAAGCTGTGAGCTGAAAACCTAATGTCTATCTCCTACACTACACACCTCACGCACGATCGGGACTCGACTCGTGGGTTCGGCCGGATGGCACCCGCCAGGGCCTTCAGCGAGATGATTTTCTTCTTGGCACATTCCTTGAATTGGCCTGGGGAGCCTGGTGGATGGAGACGCCGCTTTCTTGGGGTGCTGAAAATTCCGGAAGGACTCTTTAGTGGTTGGACCAGAGTTGTGATGGATGTGAAAGATCTTTATATATAATTACCGAGCTGTAAGCAACTGGTGTGCCGTCAACATATCCACATCAAAAAGTCAGGCTCGAAGTGGCCCGACGAAATCGTGCCCGAAGGTCTCACATCGATTCGTTTCATGACTCTAGATCTGTGAACCAGTCATGGAACGCATGGAAGTGGATGGCATGGCCCCTTGGATGACCATTTTTCCTCTACAAACAGTAGTTTTCCACTTCCCTGATGAGTTCAGGGAGTGTGCATCTACACTTAGCAGACTTTTTGTTTGGTCATCGGCCAGAACCATCCAGAATCCCCTACCTGCAATGATCTGCAATGAAATGATGTCTCCTGCAGGCATCCGCAGGATTCCGCAGTCTCAGTGCCAAGGGCAGAGACGAACACACACACACACACACACACTTAGAGAGAGCGAGAGAGAGCTCGCAAGAGCACATATGCAGAGAATGGCTAACCGAGTTATATAGTTATTGCATGTTATTGCATTACCAGAGTAGAGCGCTGAAACCTTTAATCTGTCAATGGCCCTGAGCACAACGGTAAGGCGAAAGGTCGGCAACAAGAGAGTTTAAAACAAATCACCTTCTGAAAGCAATTAGAACAATAGGCCTGGCACATGAACCACCATGAAACAAACCAGGGGACCAGGTCGCAACCAATCGAGAAACCAAAGCAGGTAAAGACCGGCACCTTCCTGGTGCCGGTCTTCGTTGGCGCGCACCAGGGAGTCCTGGCAACCTGTAGGTGGCCCTTAGAGACAGGCTGTGGCACACACACACACATACACACACTGGGGCCCCTCCCACAATTCCCCCAAAGGCTTTTGGTTCTGGACTGCAAATGAGGCAGTATGGTGCTGAAGAGACCAAGAAGCCCTGGCCTCAGCAGACGGCGGGAAGCAATGGACAGACATGATCCAGTACTTTTAATGAGGCAGGGCTGAGGAATTTTGTTGGAAAAGCAGAGCCTGAGCCACGAGATCCACAAAATCATAGACATCACAATCTTTAGGAGTCACCTCAGATCATCCAGCTGGAGTAGACCACAGATCTAAAAACAGAGGAGGTAGCTACTCCACATGGATCACCCGGCCGTTGTTTGGATTTCTACCCACTCCGAGCCTCAGATTCAAAGGTCCACGTTTTCGTGGCCGCCCTCCGAGGCGTTCCGACGCACTGAAGGAGGTCGGCGTTGAATAGAAACGACCACGAAAGAAGTGCCTGGCGAGGTGATGGATGTGATGAGGATACGTTTGGTAATGATAGCCATACCCCTCCCCAGAAGGTGCCAGAACTCCTGTTAGCAATGAGTTGGTGCATTTCAAAGAGTTTTGAAGGATAGAGCTGCAGCTCTCTTAAAAATGGAAGATGTTTGTCTACCTTTATTGGACACTTCGATATTCTTATGCTTGTAGAGCTTCGGCTTTACCATGTAGACCCCCCCTCCAATCACACAGCTACTTGGAACAACTGTTCCAATCCAAACACCTGGGGCACAAACATAAAAGCCTCCTTAAACAATTCCAAAAATGACTTTGGGTGCGCATTGAGCAGTAATGAACATTCAAAGGCAACTTGCATGATTTTTTTTTAAATTGGGCATTAGTGCCTTTAAAGGAGCTTCTTGGTATTACCTTTCGTTCATTGGGGGCTCCCTATGTCCGCCTATGTCTTGCCAAATGAGTTCCAAGCTAAGCTATTCGGAATTTCTGGACACTGATCGGTCACCAAGCCGAACAGGCCTGGTCAGTGAACCCACAACGGCAGCGCTTCGTGCGAGAGCTGAAGTATGCCGCTGGGCCGCGCCTCGTGGTTGTTTTTGGAAGGGAAATGAAGGGAAGGTTGACTGAAAGATGATTTACGATGTACGGGTACGTTTGGGCAATGCAGGGGTGTATGATGGTGTATGTTTGCTTGATGCAGCGGGCTTTGTGACCTCGGACGAGTGGGGGCTTAGCCCGTTGGATCGAACTCGGGACCCATTCAAGACATTTGCAGAAGGTACCATAAGGTACCTCAGATCACAGGTTAGGGACATGATGTTTCACATTGTCTCACTGTGGAATCGCTCAACTTGGGGCGGTTTGAACAAAAAACAACAAAACGCTTTGAACATAAGGAGTTCATGTTGGTGTCGTATGTGCCGAACGCAGCTCGTCAGCGGGTGCAGCTCCCGCAGATCGATGAGACGGTGAAGTACTTCCGCGCCTTGTCCAGCACCATGTGGGGCACCCAGGTCAGCCAGCCACAGGTGTGCTGAGCTTGGGTTTGTTACAATCTAGCTAGAAGTTGGATTTCTGGTGGAGGGATGTGGAGGGTTGAGATGAGTTGAATCATGTTGAAGGCTTCCCCTTTCTTTTCTTTGTGGACATGGCGGGCAGGCACTGTGCCATGTTGACGTCGGTTTATGTAATCAACCCACGACGCCCTTCAAGGCCAACAAGGTTTGAGATTGGAGGTATTGGAGACCACATCCCCCGAAAAAAGGTGATGACCTGATGATGGATGATGGTTGACGGGATTCGGTGGAAAATGTGTTTAGAGGGATGTCAATGTCATTTATTGTCTATCTGGAAATGGTTTAAGCTAATTACTCGTAGTGTATTGTTGGGGGCTCGAGATGGGCTTGATAAGGGGAGGTTCATGAATCCTAATGTCAACATGATGGGCTGATTGTTAACCTGTGTGTTATTTTGTGTTTGTTGGCTTGCTGGTTTCTGAATACTATTCATGAGCGGCAGCCATCATGTCAACCATATAGGCCACTGTTTCTTTTGGCTGGTCAATTTGGCCCCACCCTTCCGCACTTTTACCGTGGCTTTCTGCTTTGGGCGAGGCCCGAGATGAGCGATGATGAGGTGGACTTCCAGACACGGCAAAAGGGAAGGTCCACCATCACTGGTGGCCGCTGGGCAGCACTGGTGCAGTCCAGGGCAACACCGTGACGATCGACGCGGGGGCGTTTTGGAGGTGTTGTGTGGGTGAAATCTGCAAGTCCACTAGGATTGGTGCTAGAAATTCAGCCCATTTCAAGCCCTAAGAAGCACGCATCCTTGACTTGGGGAAGCGCGCATGTTGGCGGATGGGAGACCTGAACCCGCTCCGGCGCTCCGTGGCATTTGGTGGAATGGTGGGCCAGTAGGAACACTATATGACCGTGACAAAAAATAACCAGCGCAGAACAGCGTAGAAGGATGTATAGAAGGTATTTTTGATGCACTAACTTTGTTGAACAATTGTTTGCTGACCACCATTCCACTCACTCCCTCCGTTTGGCCTTCATTCAAGGGTGTCGACATGTGCCACCCGACAGGGTGCCGGCAGGTGCCTGGCAAGCGTCATGTCATGTTCGACTGTTCGCAGCCATTTGCTGTCAACAAGTGTGACCGTCGACCACAGGAGCGCAGGCCGTTCGATGGCGAGCAGATTCAAGACTGTGAAACATCAGCCACCAAGGTCGATTGACCTGGATCAATGAGATTAGACATGTTAGATAGCAGTGAGACGGAAGAAGATAGGAACAAATGTCTGCAGGAGAAGCGCTGCTAGTCCTGGTTTAGCGAGAACCCAAAAACCTCATGCCTGTTGCTGCTAGTCCTGGTGCTTTGTTGCCACAAGACACACACACACGAAGAGCCACGAACAGTGCAAAAGGTTACGCAAAGCCAAAAGCACTGCAACGCGTGCGCGGCGCGTGAACAACTGAATCGCACCGCGATTCAGAAGGCGAGGTCGAAACGGCATGGACATTCAGGAAGTCACAGTGAGCTTCATTGAGCTTTCATTTTTGAGGTCGTTGAATCTGCAAAGACCGACGCCCGGAAAGCATCCACAAAAAGGGGAACCCTTTGAGATGTCCAGAAGTTCCAGCGCATTCCAGCACCCAAACGATGCAAAACGGAACATCTGTACCTGAACCCTCCAATCACGTCTCCTTGAGGGTTTTGGCCCTATCGGTCTCAATTGGTGACCTGTTGGAGCGTGCTGGTACAGGTGCATCAGGTTTACAAAGATCTTCCGACAGATTCCTAGATCGAGACAGCGCAGGTGTCGCGATGATCCGCCCAGACACGCTGGTGGCCCTGAGCGCACTTCATCCCGACCCTTCGGTGGAGGTGGCCCAGGCATTCGCGAAGTCCAGTCCGTGCGAATGTTGTGAAGTCTGAGGGAACTTGGAAGTGGGTGGGAAACTTTCAAGGGAACTCCGCAGAGCAGCGAGGCTTTGTCCTTGTCCTCGCTCTATGGCATAGCTGCTTGGTCGTAAGGGATCGAGCAGAGCTCGGCGAGTGCTTCTGGGAGGACATTTAGATAATTAATTATAATTTCATCAGTCGGCTGCAATGGATCGTGTTTAGGATTGTAGATTGTTAAGCAGCAGATGTCGTTGCAGCATGTTTGTTATAAAATTGGAGTGTTCATAAACAGAAAGAGGTGGAATTTGGTGGGGAAGATCACCTAGATCCATGTCCAGGATAATTACCGGCCAAAAGGGGGATTATGTAACGTAACTATTTTGGAATGTATCAGGCGGATGGTCGTGCCTGACCAAGACATGGGATTTTGCCGATTCCAAGTGGAAACTGTATGGATCTTTTGTGCTTGCAATCCCAGTGAATCGCCATGAAGCTCCCGAACATTTTCCTACATTTGACATTTGATGGGATGTCCATAAACATTCCCATGAATCCGGCTTTTTGAACATCGAGGACACCAACAACAAGGGCCGGGTGGATGGTCAAGGCGATTCTACCCACCTACCCAGGCGGACAACTTCTCCGAAGACGAGCAACAAGCGATCCGAGATTTCAGGCGTGTCCAGTGGGAAGTACCTTGTTCCGGGCTGGTTTTCAGGGCTGACGCTGAGTAGTTGTTTTGTTTGTTTGTTTTTTGACATTGTTTGAATGGTTTGAACCACTGACTTACTATACGTTTCTATCCACGACCTTGGTGTTGAGCATGCAGCATGCCAGGATGAACATGGGGAAGTCATTCTGCTGTGCAACAAGGCTTGCGAAACGGTCTGTGTACGGTCTGCGTTTGGTTAATGAACTGGGGGGCAGTGGCCTTGCGGAACTCTCAGCGACCCGTTGATCCAGTTGGCTGAGAGCACCATCGGTAAGCAGGGCTCCAGGCTTGGAACAGCTGGGTTTCATCAATTCAAAAACGCACTCGTGGCTGGTACATGCGGTACATTCGATCGTGCCAGGGCGGCTGCGCGGTCGTGCTATTCCAAGCTGGGCTTAGACCTCAGCTTCACAAGCCAGGTGAAGAAGACCTGAGATGGGATTTCAAAGTCGCCTCCCCCATCGTGATCGGCATCCAGATGTTTATCGAAACTCCGCATCCATCAAAAATTGATTCATTTACTGTTCTAAACGCCACAAGGAAGGGGGGGCGCCCAAAATGTACACTCAGTCGTACCCTTTAAAGTGTTGGATCACTCCTGTTGAATCGACCGAGGCAAAAAAGCCAAAGCGCAGCTCATCGAAGTCGGAGCCACTCGGAGTACATTTGGCATCATTTGGCCAAGCAAAGGGTGGATGGCCTTCCAGCTTTCAAGAGGTCACAGTGTTGAAGATGAGAACATTTGATTTGGACGATCGGTTTGAGCCTGGTCATCCAGTTTGCTGCTGCATTACCACAGTTTCAGCATGTTTCAGCTATCCATTGGATCATATAGGATCCACCCAAAGGCGCGCGGCGCGCCCAGAGTCGGTCCTAAGAAGCCGACTCTACGTGTTTGTCACTGACTCAAGGAAAACTCATACTATCCTAAGAATCCTCAGGCTCTCCATAGCAGGGGTCGGACCCGACACCTTCGCAGGGGTTTGGACCCGAACCAAACCCTTTGTGTTTGAGGGCCCGGATTCTTAGGGTATAGTCAATTGATTGGAGGGTCCAGGAGTGTTATAGATACTGTAGGTGGGATCACGTTGACCAGGAATGATCAGCTCACACCTGGCGCTGAGGACAGCATCTTTGCTCAGAGCACGGTGGAAGATGTGGAGAAGACCCATGATGAGGAGACCATAGACAGCCCTCGACTTTTAAAAATTTGGTTGATTACACCCGGGAAGAGACTCACATGGAACCTGAAAATTGACCTTTGGAAGACTATCTTCCTCTACTAAACCAGTGGTTTTCATGTTCCATGTGAATCTTCCGGAGTGTAATGGAGGAGATACCCACAAGTGGACACCGAATAGTCAATATGGTACCTGGCATCGACTCCTCGGAGACTGCACGACGGTCCTGGTCCTGAACCGAACCTTTGAAAGGTGCTTTTTTGGTCCTTTGAAAGGTGCGTGTGGTCCTGATCCTGAACCTTTGAAAGGTGAAGGTACATGTCCTGGTTTGTAAGTGTTGTACCGGACTGACGGAATTCACCCGTGCTGTTCGACCGTGTTCTCTTCGACCCACCGGACGGAGGCTGCAAGGGCTTCCGTCCGGACCACGGGTGACGTCGAGGCAACGAGGCAATCTGTTCATTGGTGAACATGAGGGCAATTTCACTTTGTACCCATGCATATATAGGTGACTAAGTGCATGCTGCGAGTAGTGGCAGTACAACCTGCCAGTTCGCTTCTGAATGGCCAACCCTGGCTTTCCGCACGCCATTTCCAGCCGCAGGAGCTGGAACTCATGAACAGTTTCTGGGAAAGTGCCACCAAATCCTCCGTGGGCCCTCAGCTCAGCGAACGGCGCTGAAGAACGGCGCGAAGAGACAACGAAGTGGTCCAGGGATTGAATTGGCTGATTTGAGGTGCATCCAGCCTCGAGGAGGAGTACGACCTGCGAACAGGCCGCGGCTGCCCCCACACTTGTGGGGAGGAAGAATAAAGAAGGGGAGGACGAGATGATCATCAATTGGACTCAATCGGATGGCTGGTGGCTCGGAGAAAGCGATGGTGCTACACCATGAACTTTCCTTGCATGGATGATGGAGGGGAACAAGTCCTGGAAGACGAGGAAGTGCCTTCACACCAAGTAGTAGACACCATGTTTTAGCAACCTATGCCACAGGCGGATGGTTTCTAAACAACGAAACAGGCACTGGTACGATGGGAAGAGTCACCGAAAGTGTCACCGAATTCACCAACCACCAAGCTACCAAGCTACCAGTCCCTTCTGAGGGGTGAAACGGCCCTGAGACCCTGAGACGACAAAGTCCGACAGACGACCCTGTGAATCGGCGACGGTGGGAGTCTTGGAGCATCAACCCCCTACCGGAGGGCGGGTTGACCAAAAGCAATCCGCAAGCCGCGGTGGAAGATCCAAAGTCCAGCAACACCCCAGCTGCACCGTAAGCTCTTGATGTAGAAATCCATACATCTCCAGGCCGATGGCTGGGCAACGGCAAGTGGGGCTGGGTGATGATGGCACCCAAACGTCATGGTGGCCAGGCCTGGCAGAACCAAAAAAGTACAAACATGCTGCGTCACACACACACAGCATAGGGCAGGGCAACTCATCAGCTTTGTCTACCAGCTGGTATGGAGGTGGGGGGTCTGGGGTCGAACATCTCCGGAGCCTGGCTGGGGCGACGCGAGAGAGAGAGAGAGAGAGAGAGGGGGGGGGGGGGGGGGGGGGGGGGAGAGTTTGAGGTTGACAATCAGATATCTCCTTGATTCTCCATGTGATTTTAACTCTTCTCATTTGTAGTCCAATGATGTCCAATTGGACAGGGCCCGCTGGCTGTTCCACCAAACGCCACACCGACACTGCCCAGCCTTCGAGCGAGGCGGTGCTGAAAATGAGCGACGTGCACCACGCGGATGTAACTGCAAAGGAGTGGATCCACGGCAGTAAGCGCCTGGGCGTATGCGAGCCGGCGTATGCGAGCCGGCGTATGCAAGCCGGCGCTGGCTCGGCTTTTTGCTGTGTTTTGGGGAAGGCATTCATCACTGAACAGCCAGGGGCTGAAGAAATTCCTAGTGTGGCATGCTGCAACCCCAACTGGTGATTATTAGTGTCATATAACAAAAGTTCATGAATAAGGGGCAGGGCTACACATGTTGTTTTGAATGTTAGATTTTTCGGGGGGTCACTGCATTTTGCGAAACAAAATGGCGCAATTGCAACTTGATGTCAATGTTGTTGCCATTCTACTGTATGTTTGCTATTTATTTTTTCTAGATTGAAATACTATTCAGCTGTGTGTCTCTTCTTCCATAGAATCTCTTTGGTGCAAAGCTGCTCCTTTGTGCGAAACTTTGATCAACTTATTGAGACCTTGTCCTTTCCGATTTCTGGCTTTCGGGGCCGCAAGCATATTTTCTAGGACTTCCATAATTTGGTTTTTGGTGTAGACTCTAGACTCTAGACGTTAGTTTTGCACAGATGTTTGCTCATATTGGGCACACCCGATACCCTCCATGGAAGGATGTGAAAGGATCCTTCGTTACTTTGGGCGTAGAGCCTTTTCAGAATCAGCAGTGCACTTGAGCATTAGAGCACCATGACTGGGCCTCTTGGGTCACCTGCCAGCCCCATGGCTGGCTGAGGATGGGCCGAGGACATCGGAATATCGCAGGGCGGCTCAGGGAGAAACTTTTGCCCATCACATGCGTGAAGGTCATGTGCTTGTGACTTGTGTATGAAGGGATGTTTCATCAATCAAGACGGGATTGAATCTACATTTGTGGCTTCCTTAATGGGCAGGCAAGCAGCTACTCAGGGTCCTCATGTTGAGACAGAAGCTCTCAGGTAGAGTACCTCAATGTGTATCTCTACGGTGATGAAAATCAGACCTTCAAAAAGAAGCTCCAGGATGGATACAGAGACGGCTCCTGGGTCATACGCGTGGCCGGCGCTCGGTCATTTGCGTGTGTCGGTCAGCTCAGTCAGGGTTTTGACCCGGGACGTCGGTGGGATAAGGGTTTTCCAAGTCTCTCTATCGCCACCCGCAATGGGGGCATTGGTGCCAAGAGGTGGTTCGGGGAAAAAAAACTCAATAGATAGACCCGAACGGGATCCACATACCGAACGAAGGTGCGACTGGGCCCTCCAAGCCTACATAAATAGTTTCCAATCACCGTAGCTGAGAAGGTACGACTGGATCCCTAGGGAGAAAAAGGTAAAATCAATTTCAACATGTATTGGACACCGTGCCACTGTCTATTGGGGGACCACTATAGTGACATAATGTGACGTGTTGATCCGAAAACAGACCGTTTTCATGACGTGAGACTCCTTGGTTCATTTAGTGGATGTAACATTGGTGATTTGTCTTGTATATACAGTATATCTGAATGGAAGACGTTCCGTTTGTGCTTGAATCTCGCATCAGGTAAGCTGAAGTCTGACATCCAGAGGAAGAGCTTTCCAACTCATTATGTGTGGCTTGGATTGTTTTCGAGCAGGTGCTCAAGCAACTTATGTTCATGTTCAACACATTGCAAAGCAATCCGCCACAAACGATCTTGAACAGACCCGAAGAAGATACAGAAGAGATAAGGTCAAGGTGTACTGGAACCTTTCTAAATGATATCAACAATGCTATACAGTAAAGGGACGCGGAATCTGCAGCTTTCAGTCAAGCTGACAAAATACACTCGATATCACTCAGTATATGAACCGATAGCCAAAATGAATCCAACACTTAAAACACATAGCAGTTAACATGCTCTAGCACTTTAGACCGCACCTCATATCAAAACATATCATAACTGCAGATAACCACATGTCATCGTGTAGAGATTTCAATGGCTAATGAGCTTAGGCCGGTTGTTCGTTGTCAAGGGAAGGCCTCCTCAATATTGTTGAGAATAGGAACTTGGTGGTCCGCGGAATGCAGAATGGTTGTTTGATCTAAAGGCCTTTGCCCATATTCAAGATGGGTTGAGTTGCGCAGTCCGGAGCACAGCGGTCTCTTGTTTGGCAGGCTTGGACCATTCCTTTGCTTTCTTTTGTCATCTCTTGTCTAGTCTCCAGGTGCATGACAATAGAAGAGATGAACTGTGGAAGCGTGCAGGGCTGGTTGGACAAGGAGATCCTCAATCCGCAGGGGATACTTGGCTGAAGTCTCCAACGGTTTTTGTCCCAACCCTTCAAGCACCGCAGTCGAGCGTAGCTTTCCTCGATGTGCAGGCCCAATCTGCAAGCGACTCGTGGAGTCTGCATATCATCCGCTGAGGATGATGGTGGTCTTGCAAGAGGTCGCTGCAGCACTGGCATATATGCACTCAAACGAGATCACGCACAATGACATGAAGCGCCCTGGTGGATTCAGGGGTACATGAAACGCCGTTACGGAACGGACACTCCTTTTCAACTTCAAGGGCAGATCTTTATCGGACTCAAAGCCTGCCAGTTCTCGCTGAAATGATTATATACTGTATTGTTTAATGGCCAACTTTCATCTTCAGTGATATACCTTGAGTCTCCAAAGACCTTTTATTTCTGCGTTTTTGCTTTTGGTCTAATATTTTTGCGTTTTTGCTCGAAAAACGCGTTTTTAGAGATGAGGACTCAAAAAAAGGTGCAGAGTGAATCTTCATCCGGACGCGTCCGGCACGGACGCTTAAAAACGCCTTTTGGACGCAAAAAGACGCGTTTTGGACGCCGGAAAAAGGTCTCAGGACACTGTCTAAGGAGGATCTGACAGGGCACAAACAAAAAAGGAACATTTCGTGACATATGCAAAAAAGAGCGCTTTCTTTCAAAAACCTCTTTTTCTTGGAAAGGCAAATTTAAAAGGGTCATTGGAGACTCAAGGTAGACGCAGAACCTCAGCAACTCAGCAGGCCATTCGGTAGCAGTCGTTCCATGCAATGCATCCAAGAAAGGGATACCCCTACTCTTCCATTTTGGGAGGGGATACTGGGGGGGTCATGCCATCCACTTCCTCTTTTTGATTTCAGGGAGACCTATTCATCCTGCAAACCATTGCACACTTGTTTTTGTTCGTCCTTCAAGGCCTGAAAATATCTTCTTGCACACCGACGGACGCATCTTGGTCAGCACATCTTGCGTTCGTCATTCCTCGTTCGCGTCACTCTGATGCTGGGTGACGGGCTCCGGGGACCCTGGTTTGTCAGTCCCACGGGACATGAACAGAATGGACTACAAGACATGGTCAACCTACTGGGGTGACCAGGGCTCGACAAAAGACCATAACTCCACAAGTCCACTTGGATTGATGGTTCCAACAGGCAGCAACACTCTTAGCCACCGAGCTTTTGCATGAAAAGCGGGTTCTTTGATGATTTTGACGAGTATCGCGCAAGTGCTGGATTCATGACACTCCTGCTGGCACTTGAGCTAGCAATCATGTTTCGGACCAGGCTGGACCTCAGGTCTCAACCTTCTTACCCCGTTAGGTTGTGGGGTGCCACCAGATCCACCAGCTGACTACGTCGAACCAATCAAACTTTCACGGCTTGGCTGGACGTTTGCCTGGACAGCACACCTTTGCGCTGAAAGCGCCACACGGCCAGCTACACCGCCGGAGCGGCAGCTGCACAGGCCGGATCGTGTCAAAGCTTGGAGATTTGGGCTTAGCAGAGAAGTCCACCAACACCACCAGCGACGTGACCCGCGACTGGGCGAAGAGTTCGCAGCAGAATGCGACGTATAGAGCGAGCGAATGAACAACAAGAACTTGAAGACTTCGTTGATGCTCTTTTTGCACAAATTGTGCAAAAACACACACACACATGGATTCCCACACGGAATTGATCAAACAAGAAGCCTCCGCAACACGCCAGGAGACCCGAAGGGATGGTGTTTGGATGTTTTTTGGACCCATGGTAGGCACATACCTTACATTACCTTACCACAGAATAGTCAATTGAGGTCTCCATGGATCTCCATGGTGCTTGGTCTTCAGTTTTGATTCTTCCGCGCTCGGCGTGTTGCTGATCAATCCTCCAGCTCGGCGTGTCGCTGAGGCTATGGCATGACCGGCTTTTCGATGGCCACCGGTCCCTTGACGTGAAAACACGGTGGTTTTCATGGGGGCAGCCATGAAGCTTCTGAGGCGGTTGGGGCAGTTTCAGGTGGCTTTTTATTGGTCCAACTACCTTGTGAGGATTGGGCTTCATGCTTGCGAAGAAAAAAACAACAGACACAACCTTGTCGCAAATGTGACATGGAAGTGGCACAGCTCACCAGCACCTGACACATGATGTTAGAAGGGTCGATGTTAACTTCCATATGTTTGTTTTTGATCATGCATAAGCGGTTTATCCGCATGTGGATAGTTCAGGGTGTTTTTGTTATTAAGATGACTACGTGTTCTTCTTCAATTCAAGATCGTTTATAGACCTCCTCCTGGACCTATACATTTAAGGCGTTCGGCGAGATAAGGTCAGGATCATTGTATAGAAGTGTATAGATTCATTAGTTCATTAGACTCTTGATATTTCAACTCCCCATATGATGAGGTTTTATAACCGCAATGGGGAGAGCTTTAATCAAGAGTCTAATGTCGAGTCCTGCTGCCAACTGAGGCGAGAAGTATGGCTTGAGACACTATTCCAAGGACCAAGCGGCAGGGATTTATATAAAGCATGTCATCATCTTCCCGGAATCTTCCCCAGATCTTTGGAGTGGGGAAAGTGCTTGCTGCGAATGGATATGACTACTGACTACGTACTGAACCTTTTAACCAATCAGTTTGCGACACAGTGAGATGACTTATCCGATATACCCAGCGACTGGGCGGATAAAAGCTGGACGGCCAAGATGCGAACCCGGGCAAGCTGGTCACCGCCTTTCACGGGGACGCCTGACCCTGCGTGTTCTCTGAAATTGTATGAAAGCCCGCTCCTTCTTAGTCCAAGCAAGATTGTGGAAGGTTTCTCCTTTGTTGTATATCTTTCAGAGGCATTTTGGTGGGTGAAGGGACAGCCCCAAGAAACGACTTTCCCTGAAGCTGCGCATCAACCCAGAGGCTGCTTGACCTAAACGCTTTGATGAAGAGATGGACGAATATATACAAAACATTCACCTGCTTTGTAGCATCAACCCAGAGCCTGTTCGGTCGCGTAAAGTTGTTTACAATATTTGAGGCACACGTGCTTCCTGCCAGAGATACCTGGCAGATATGTTCAGATTTCGGCCCATCTGAAAACTGGACACTAACCAGAAAAAGTGAGGCAGTGAGGCGACAGCAGCCTCATAGCCCTTTAAAGAAGACACGAAGACCGACCGATCTCCACAGGGGCCTTTGGGCTCCACGTCCGATCGACCTGGTGGAAGGACAAGATCTCCACCTTCGTCTCGGAAGTCGAGGCTTGTGCCCCTTGGAAGTGATCGGTGCTGACCAGAACAAAAGGAGTGCTTAGGTCGTCCCCTGTGGGTGAGAGCATCATGAACAGATGATGATAATAGGCATAGGAGTGTTCAACATGTTCGACTTACTTGTTCGACTTGTTCATGTTCCTTTGAGGCCACATCCCAGACGTTGACTTCATTAATGTGTTCGCTTTCAGGGCGCGGTGTGAGGGCGGCCTAGGAGGGACTGACGGTCCTTGCGAGTGATCCAAGGTGAATGGTTGTGGAGTCACTGGAAAGCTTGGAACAGCGTTGGAAGAAGCTTGGCAGCCTGAGGTGACTGCATCTTTTCATTCCCGCATGTGACAACTGGTGAGGGTGAGATTTGCAGGGTGTGCCTTTGAGAAAGAGCCAGGAACCACGGCATCATGTTGGTTGAACAGCTTACAGACAGTATTTTTTTAGCAGGAGTGAAGACGGTTCAAGACAGTGGGAGGACAAAAGTCTAAACCTCTTTCCGTTGTGCCAATGGGATAGATTATGATAGATTTGCATTATCAGAATCATGAAGTTCGAATTTGATGCTGGCATCCCCAGATATATATACCAAAGGGTTTACATGTTGGGGTGTAGTTGCACACCACCTACAGACGATCGTTTCCTTCAGCCTACATCGCCTGGTTCGAGTGGGGGTGAATGCTTAGGCAGTTTGGGTCCGTTTGGTCCGAGCCACAGGACTTGCCACGCTTGCTCCAGAAGGCCTGGAGCTCCAGGACTGGACTGGATCAGTGCGACTCACAGCGATGCTCGCGGAAACCGGGGGGTGAAATGCCCGAGCGCGCAGGGTGTTTCTTCCAGACAGGTTCCAAACATAGATGCTGGCATGGGTGTCCACCCATGGAGCTTTCATTTTAACAAGTGGAAGTCTTTAGAACATATATGTCCACCTATATATTGGGTTCCGGGCCGTTTGCTCGCTCTGATATCGTTGAGTCCACCCATGGCAGCCAGCCAGACCAGCTCGTCTCAAGAAGAACCTCATTTTGTTTGCTTTGTCTCCCTCTCTCTCTCTCTCCCCCTTTGTCTCTCCAGGTGCTGTCTGAAAGCGCGCCTCGGAGGAGATAGATGATCAGCAGGGTTTCAGGATGTTTCAGCGGGAGGCGAACGTTTGCTCCAGGACTTTTGACCTCAAAGACGTGTTGGTCAATATACAATTAGATAGAGGATTTCAGTGGACTTCAGACCTCAGGCCCCAATCAGACACCTCCTTCCACACCACCAGCCCACCACCTGCCCACCTTTCGCATCCTTGTTTGGAAAGCACGCCACACCTTTGTCCCAACTCCGTGCCCATGGACTCCTCCCGGACGATGACTGGAAAGCGGGTGTCCCGCCGCATGCACGTGGCGACACCCGAGGTCTCGATGAAAGAGGTCCGTGATTGGAAGACGCTGCAAGGCTTCGACTTTCCGGATGAGGGCGCTTCCTCGAGTTGCCTGGAGGTGGAGGAGGTAGGTAGCTTGGGCGGAGGCGGAGGTAGGTCACAGGCCACTCTGACACATTTGGGGTTAGGAGGGTCCGTTCTTCGGAGGCATTGGCTGTGGACGAATTAAGATATATATTATTATATAAATTTATAATATTATAAGAGTCTATATCATATCATATTATGATATCCAATGATGATTCAAGGGATTCAAGGTTTGTAGAGGAGTCTTTTCGGGATCACCTGACAAGGCTGGAAGAAGAATGCGATTGTGTGATAGCCAACAGGGGTTCCAAGAAAGGAGTTGGACCAGGCATGATGACCCATAGCCAATAGCTACAGATTCTTGCTCATGATTGTCAAGAGCTTTGTTCATGTCAAAACAATCTTTGACTTGTTTATGACATCTAAAGGGCAGTAGCTTGAGGAAGACGACGGCCTTCTCTTCTATTTGAAGACCCCACAACCCCACGACCACCGGGAAATGGTGTGACCGGGCAGCCGAGGCTTGCGTCGCTCCTCCACGGATCCAGTAGCTATGAAAGCTGTTGAGGAGATGATCGGTGATGGGTTGAGATGGGGTGATGGTTTGCCGAAGTAGCATGACTGGTCTAACACAGCTCTAAAACCGATCATGCTATGTCTAAACGGGCACAAGGCTTGGCAAGGCTTCAAGGACAGTATATAGAGGACAAGCTGCAGCTAAAGCTCGTCCCCACCAGAGGACAGCTTTCAGTCCTGAGTGTCCCTTCATGTATGACCACTCAGTGGTGCATTTATTGGGGCTCCATTAAGTTGGTTGAGCCGCCCATCGGGCAGCTCAGGGCACTGACCCCCCTTTGACTAACATGTTGGACGCCAGGAAGATGACGACTACGGCAACGGCTATGGTCGAAGGTGGGGCTACGGCTATGAGCTGGTGGGGCCTTTTGTCGCTTCCAAGACATTAAAGGTTCCATCGTCAGGGTCGGTCAACGTGTTGATTTCTTTGCTTCTTGATGTTGTTAGTTATCAAAATCATTTTTTCCATGGCAGTCCTTGAGGAAGATTTTGCCAAACTTGGCTATTTGAACATTTGGCTTTGAGCTCTTCAACAAGGCTTTGGAACGATTGAACATTCATTGCACAAAAGGAAGAGCGCTCGCAGACCCGGACAAGCACAGCCACAAGCAGGTTTGGGCATCGCGCTTCCCCACGAACCGCGTGTTCGTCGCGCGTTCGTTTGCTCGAGGCGTTTGGAAAAGGCCAAGTCCGCTCCTTGGAGCGAAACTGGCGGCTCGAGGCGTTTGGTGACCAGCCTAACGACTAACGACTAACGCTCAAAGCATCTGAAAACGGACGTGTCCGTAAAACGGCCAAAGTGATGCAGGTCAAGTGGTCTAGAGGTTTGTTTTCGAGCTGAAAGGTCTCCACGGTTCTTCCTCCAAGAATGGTGGTGTTCCGGTGTTCGGTGTTCGCCGAAGACGGTGAACAGGCCCAAGAGGTGAATCCAGCTGGACCCTGGAAGATCCTGCACCTACAGGTGGTGAAGAGGCTGTTGCTTTTCTCATCGAATTCGATCACCTCTGGCCCTAAGAATGTAGAGCAAAGTTTCCAAAAACAGAGAAAAGTGTCAGAAGCCTTTGGTCCTTTGAAAGTCCAACTGGGTGAATGTTCCCATTGGGTGCAGTCCCAGGTTCGTCCCAGCAAGCAAAATCAAGAACCAAATCAACCAACGCTCAACGGCAATCGACTACTATGAGAGGTTCAAAGGGTCCTGATTCAGCCGACATAGATACTGCAGCTCCGTTTGAAGATGCTTAAATTAAGACATATTGCCAATATTGCCTTTAACTCGGTGCGGATCCCCAACACAAAACAAAAGAGGGGCAGTTCTGTTAGAAGATCATCATTTTCCCAACCCTGGTCGTTTCTACGTACCTCTTCCCAACCCTGTTGGAACACATCGATCCACACCAGGACCTCCACCGTTTTGATGCAACGAAGTCACGAAGCTCGTTTCCTCATTGCGCGCCATTTGCCCCATGGGTGTATCGCTGTATCATGCTGTATCGCACCATCCAGGTTGAGTGGATATGACATGATGTGGGGGGGGGGGGGGGGGGGTGCACTCCTCATCACTTCGTCCTCCTCCGCCGGTAAGACCGCCACTCGGACGCCGTGCCCGTTCTCCGTCCAAACACGCCTCAGTCCTTGGAGCCGAAGTGTCCTCGACCGCAGAGATGGGCGGTTCCGGATGGTTCCGGACGTCGACCACGGGAAACACGGTTTCTGTTGGGAAAAAACGGCCCACGCGATGGGGAGTCATTGTGGGCTATGGGATGATCATCGATTTGTTATCCAGCAGTATCCGAGTTCCTACTTACATCTATGTACTTACTACGGCCGACCTGATCAACATTTGGATGACATTTTAACATGCATCGACACATTCTTGAGACTACAGGCTGTTGTGGAAGGATTAAGACTACAAGTTCAAGAGTCCTGAGGTAGAACGTGTAAAGCTACCACCTTCCCCAGGTCACTCTTCATTGTTTCCTTGAGAAAGATTGCTTGGCTGGTGGTAAATTGTTCAATTCTATGGACTTGGGCTGCAGCCTATAGTTCTACATTACACTTGGTCTCTTTAGCCTTAGCGCGTTTTCGTTTCTTCCCTGAACTCCGTATGGTCACACTTCACATGTTTTGCAGGATCATCACCACATGTTTCAACGAGATGGTCGTCCAGTCTCCGAGAATCAATAACATATCAATGCCATGAATTTGGGAGTCTACTATTTATAGGATATAAAATGATATAAATATAGCAGGCCATACCAGGAATCTATAGGTTTGCAGTATAGGACCTGGGAATCAGTAGGATGTACCAGGCCACACCAGGCCTATTCTTTTGCAACCCATGAGGGCTCACAACCAAATTCGGCTTCCCCCTGCCACTCAGGACCAAGCCAAAACGGCGGATCTGGGAGGAGGCCATTCTCAAGTCCACGCGTACTTGCGCGGTGATTTCAGCATGTGACGCGCTCGGGGAACAGGGGGTGTGTGGATGTCCGAAGTGAAACAGCTTTGATTGGGGTGACCGAGGGGATTGATTGACAGTTAAACCATGGCCTTGGGAGTTGCGTTATTTGATTTTTGGTTTCTGGTTTGACTCCAGATCGATGTGTGTGTGTGTTTTTCTTTGCGGTTACCTGATCGGCTGACGCATCCACTTCAGGGTTTATAGGTACTCCTATAGATGTGCTACCTAAGCAATTGCCACTCCCATTCTGAATGCCTTTGCAAGATAGAAAGAGCCAATCTCATGAGTCAACAATCCACCGGGAGATCCTTGCACCAAAAAACACGGCGAGCCACGCCAACATGGGTTGATACAAACAAACTGGATGTCGTTTGGAGAGGGCCGCTGCATGTCGAAAGCACCTGCATGAATGTTGCGACACAGAAATTTCATGGAACTGGACAAGCACCACACCACCTGTTTGGTAGTCGGAAAATGGTCATCCGAAATTGGGGTCATGCCATCCACATAACATCACATAACTATGCTTATTTCAGGGAGTGTATTTGGTGTTTGGCCCCCTTGCTGGGGCCACATCAACCGAAGGACCAAGGTAGTTGGCAAAATCCGGCGCCGATCTCGGGCACGCCACACGGTTTTTTGCCGGTCAGGATTGGTGATGGCCTCGGGCGTCGTAGAGTTGGGATGCCAGAGTCTAAAGCAAACAGTTGCACCGTCCCAGAAATGCGTGAGACACTTGCAGGAGAGTTTACGTTAAGTTTGGGGAGTTGTGTTTCTTGTTTGGCTCGTGCTTTTGTAGAGTTGTTTGGGTCGGAGCGCTGAAGATGGATATGACACATCTTCGCGTGAGCAAGGAGTTTGTTCCAGACATTTTCTTGATACAGAAATGTCATTTGAAGAGGGGTTTTGCCCCTTGGGAGACATAAAAAGTGGTGCCTATTTTCTCCCTTAGATCCAGTTGTTCCTTGTTGGTCTTTAACCGATGTGCAGCTCCAAGATCACCAACTCTACTGTTTGCCGGCATGTACCCGCGAAGCATGCGCATTCTGCGCATTCGTTTGCTGCGACGTGGGTGAAAACCATCGCTGCGACGAGTACAACCGGGCGCCCATCTGAGCGGCGCCAATCGGAGCCCTGCTGTTTGATTTGCGTGATGAGCCAATCAACGAAATGAGCTACTCAAGAAATGATATTTTTGGTGCACGCATCTAAACTAATGTTGGATCTTGATTAGTAAAGGGGGGTCCCCCCCTCAAACAAATGGAGGATCCTCTATAATAAACTAAATAAACTACCACCAAAAAACATTTGTGTTCCTAGGAGGATTCCTTTTGTAATTGATTGTAGTATTCATTTTCCTTTCTGATGTTCTTTGTCATTAGGTATTCTTTACAATCCTTTCATACTACTACACAAAGGATTGATTAAGGAATTGATGGCTTTGGGAAGCTGTGAGTTATGAAGAACTTGAGAAACCTATACTTATCAAATCTTATCAATATTCTCAGCAAGCCAACTTCTTCAGGAAAAAAACTTTGCACAATTGAGGACCCTTATTAAAACAAATTCATTATTGAGGATCACGGGCCTTCCTGGTCTACTACCTTGAAAAGTTGTTTAGGAGCAATCTTTACATAAAGGATTGATTAGGGAATTCATGGCTTTGGGAAGCTGTGAGTTCTTAAGAAGAACTATAGAAACCTATACTTATCAATACTCTCAGCAAGCCAACCATTGGCTTTAGCAGTATTAAGAATTACTTCAGGAAAAACCTTTGCACAATTGAGGACCCTTAAAACAAATTCATTATTGATGATCACGGGCCTTCCTGGTCTACTAATTGAAAATTTGTTTAGGAGCAATCTTTACATAAAGGATTGATTAGGGCATTGATGGTTTTGGGAAACTAGCAGTTTTGAAGAAGAACTATAGATACCTATCAATACTCACAGCAAGCCAACCATTGGCTTAGTAGTACTTACTATTTCTATTTGTCTAACGGAAATATACTTAACCCTAAAACTTGTTTAGATAACAAAACAAGTAGGATCCCCACCAAAAAATAGCATAATCGAGGACCCTTAAAACGAACAGGTTGTCAATAAATATTTTTCAACAGGTTAGCATTATAGAGGGCCCTATTACTAATCAGCGTCCAACATTACTCTAGAAATGATGAATATGACCTATTTTTTATCCATGATCCAAAGATTCTGAAGCCCAGCGGCTGCCAATCGATTTTCTACCTTGCTATGAGGAAGATTCCCTTGAGAGGAGCTTCTTTCATGGCCGTATGGATTTGCCGTGAATGTCAGGTGTCAAGAGAAAAAGGTCCTTAGGGACTTTGTCTCAGCTCGTCGTGGATGCAGGTGGGAGGCATGTCAATAAGCAAGACTTCTTTGTACATGTTTCTTGGGTGCTCCACCCATGTATTCATCCATGGTATACATCAGTGCTGTCTCATATGTTTGCATGACAGAATCCTGAGAAGATCGCTTCTCAGGCGAATTGAAGCTAAACTTGGGTGGCCACTCGTTCAGGTGCAAACTGGAAGCTATGAAGGTCCACAAAACTATTGAAAGATCACGGGCACAAAACCCTGAACCTTGAGTGCAGCGAGGTTGTAATTAGCCACTTAAACGAACCATCACAGTGTGAGGCATCATTGGGCACTGAGCGCCAAGGATCCCATCAATCTTAGTTTGGTCAACTTGCTCCAGGGCGGAGGAAAAAATAACACCAAATACACTCCTCCCAGTACTCCTCCCAGTACTCCATCATGGCTACATTGATGACATGACCCCGAATGGCTACAGGATGACCCTGTTCCGAAGACTGAACAGGTGGGTGCTTCTCCAGAAGCGTGCGATTATTTCTCATGAGTGTCGTAGGCTTCAAGTGCATCCAAGAGTGGAGCATATGCAGCACATTGGGTTTATTCCAAGGAGTGTGCGGGTTTACGGGGAAGATCATTCCCGGACTGACCTTAAACCATATCAAACCTTAAAGCACTGGTAGCGAACTCCACTTCCATGTTTTCGGGCAGTTTACGCCCTGGAAGATGTAAAATTGACCCTGAAAACCACTGGCCTGTAGTGGAAAGCCTTCGTTCAGGGGACAAAACCACAGGGCCTGTGAGTTTTCGGGAGTGTAGCAAAATTGCACTTTTTGCCAGCCGAGGGAACTTTTCAGGCCCCACCAGAGGCTGGAGCATGTTTGGGGTGAAGAATGGGATCTGAGTGGATTCTATTTTTGGGAGGAGCCGCTCCATCCAGGTCCATCCTTGGTTGGATTTTTCTGTTAGGCTCGGGGTCTATTATTTCCTTGTTGCGTGGGGTATGATTATAGGTAGTGCTTTGGACGAAGCGGCCCTGATGTCATGGGGTTAGTCCCGGAAACCAGCTCGCTCCAGAAGTCTTGCAGACCGCAAGCCAAAACCACAGCCTTACGGATTCGGGTGGGGACGTTCTTCTTTTTCGGTGTTCTATAATATTCTTAACCAAAAAACTGGTGAAGGGGATGAACATGGATGAAGAGCTGTTCCGAACTCATGGGCTGTCGGTCAAATCCGTTACCAGACCAAAAGCAATGCACCGAAGCTCCATATATCACCTGCATAATTATAGATATTATATTGTATTATAGTTGGCACAGTGATGTAGTTAAATTCTTCCTGATTTCGTTGGAAATCAGTATATATATATATATATCAGCGGCACAGGAGCAGAACAGCAAAAGAGGAGTGATTGGCACACAGTAGATTTCAACTGGACCGGCTGTTCTACATAGTGCCATAGGATTTCTATGCTTAAGTAAGGCAAGGGAACGAGTTGCGATCTGGCTTCTTCTTCGGAACGCGGCGTAGACCGGGTAGACCAGACTCATCGGTAGGCCAGAGCAGCAGTCAAGTCGACGAGGCCAAGGCGAGGGTCACTCGTCGACCACGCGGAAACCAGATGGAATTGGGTCACCTAGCTCAACTGGCTCAACTAATTCTCTCCCCAACAAGAGATGAACACTTTTTAGATACTTATTTAGTATTTGGATTCATGAGTTTCTGGCCCTCAGCCATCAACGGTTGCATTGACCATCATTGACCCTATCCCCAACACGTGCTTGATGCAGAAGCAATGAGGTGAGCTCGGATTTGACCCGAGGTTACCCTCCTCCTGCATCCTCCGATCCGCGAAACATTATTGCTTCTCTTATTTTCTCTTGGACCCCGGATGACATCCTTGAAAGAAGTACTTCAGGGTGAGTTCGTAGATTTTGGTAGAATGGACCCCCTCCCACACACGATTGTGTGTTGTTGCCTTTTTTCTTACCCTGAGTAGAGTAGATCATCAATTCTTCAAGTACGTAAGTCATCACATCACTACATTTGTTTTGTAGATCATGAGAGTTGCCATGAAAGCGGCAGTATGACTATATATCTATGACTTACTTTCATACTGTCATACATGCATTTGTAAATGTTTGTATAGAGACCCCCTAAATAGATAGAGAGAGAGAGAAGTAAAACATGTATTGAGTATTGAATATAACCGTTCCTGTCTATTTGGGCATCACTATATAGCATCATGTGGTATCTCCTTGTCACTCTCACCTGACCCACATCGAAGAGACGAACAGGCACGTGTGCTCAAGGTCCTAGTCAGGCGGGGTTCGTTCTGGCTTCCGCCTGTCTCCGCATGGTGGAGCTCACCACTGGATTTGGGAAGACAAGACCTGAACATCCTGAACTTGTTTTGGAAATGATAGGAATTTAGATGAGAGTGCACCTCCATGTTTGTGAACACAAACACATCTCATCACTCACCAGGCTTCTGGCTTTTTGGAGACACATGGAGACCACACCAAAACACTCCGTCAAATCAGCGGCGTTTCGTCGTTGATTTTGTTGGCTTCGAGAAGAAGTGACTCAATGCATTGCAGTGCTTGTTTCGAGATGGCGTGATTATTCTTTTCTTTGCCCGGCCAGCGGCGTCTACCGGGTGTATGTGGAGCTACGTGGTGAGCTACGTATAATAATGGGTGCATAGGTAGAGTCCACACGTCCTTCTGAGATTTTCCGCATGTCCGCATATTCTCGGGATGGTCTACCCATATCAACAAGCAATGCGATATATAAATGTGAACCTCCACAAATTCATGCACCTCAATGTGGCAGAGAGGAAATATCGACTCCTTCGCAGTTGGTCAGGCTGTGGCTGTACTGCTTCTTGCGGAACCGCAGCAATGAGAACTTCTTCTACACGTGCATGCCTGAGCAACCTAGCGGGGAATCGCTGCCAAGTGGCCTCCGTTGATTAGCTTGGCTTGCTTTTCTTTGGCACCCGGCACATCCTGGCACCACCTGCTCTCCTTTGCAAACCGGTCATGCCCCTCCTGAATGCCCACACCAGCGCACAATGGTAGGAACATGTACTGTAGGAACTCGGCTCTTTTTCTTCAGTGCAGGATCCTAATCGGATCAGATCCAGTTACTCCCCTTCACTAACATTAACGTGGGGCAATTACTCTACTACCTGCAGTGCCACGTTTTGTTTGCTTTACAGTAGCGGCTGGAATCCTTGCATCCCGCAGAGTTCTAAACGTACCAACTGCCATGACTGGTGCCTCAAGTTATGAGCTAGTCTGGCTGGTCTATGCTAATCTTAAGCAGTGTGCAAGGAACCGCCCACCAAATTCGCAACAATACCTAGGACATCCTAGAACAATTATATACAAAGTACTATAAATTAAGAGCAAAGTGCAACTCTTCATTCCTTGTCACCGCAATAGAATCCACTGTAGATGGCATAGACCATCACAGACCTCAACCACCCAACTTCGGAGCCAGAGAAGATCGAGGAACTCAGGCTGAGGAGCTGAGGCTCAGCGCGGAGCTTGCAGAATCGCCCGTGGAAACTCTAAGTGAAAGAGTATGAAAGCATGAGTTCAGACCATAGACAATGAACTAATCTACCACTAAGACCCCAACCATTAGCATTTCAACTGACCATTGAGATCAGCCCTCATGTCCCTTGCGCCTTTGCGCACGCACCTGCCGCGTCCCCCCCCGCCTCCGCCGCCCGTAGCACGCCGTAGCGTCATTCTTCTCCGCGCCCAGGAGAGGGTACATGGACATCATCGACGCCATGAATGGGTTCCGGTACTCAGGGCATCCGACACTCGTCCGTCCGCGACACTCTGTTCACGGCGGGACCTATGGTTTTGCGTTTCCGGGATTGCAAAACCATCCGTAACGTTTCAAAGGTTAACATATAGCCGGAATATGTACAGCAATTGTGATGCCTGCATTGGAGATGTTTGAAGGGTGAAGAGGTAAAATATGCCAACCCCGGATTGTCGAGAGTCTAACAAGGGATTCGTAGGGGGTGAGTCTATGGGGAAAATCACAGGTGCACACACATACTTGCCAACATATACGTACCGTTTTTATGCATGCTTACACTGTCACGAATCTCACCACACACACATACTTGTGGTTTGGAGTGTGCCCTCGGCACATGCGGAGAGTGGTACATCTCCTCACCCAAAGACACGACTATGTCTTGTTCAGATGACTGTAAATTATCGATATTATCGCCCGTGGTCCATGTTTGCAAAACAGCTGATAGAGAGAGAGAGAGCCTGGGGCCAGGGGTATACTTGTGGCAGATCGGCACCATTGCTGGAGCACTGGGGTACTACATGTCCCTTATCAGGTGTCGATGATCGTTGATTCCTCAAAGACCGTATGTATTCTTCTAGCCATTGTTCCAGTCCATTCCACCAAAGTCCCGAGTATTCTTGCCGCTTTGCATGGCAGTTCTGTCACTGTCGACTTGGGCTCCAGCAAGTCTGGCAGGGCGCCCGCTGCACGATCGCTACACGCTGCACGATCGCAGGCAGTTCAGCGTTCCATCACTTCTCGGCCGACGGAGTCCGCGCCCAAACCGATCAGTCCAACTCATGGCGCGCACGGTCCGACGGTCCAGTGGCCTTGTGGCCATCTCGGTGATTGCGGTCTTCCTCCAGGCAGCGGACGCAAGACGTGCCACACTGGGGGTTGGACGTTAGCTGTTTCATTCATGCTGTTCAAGCTGAAGTGGGTCCAGTCATCAGATTCTTAAGCAAGGTTGAGCACTGAAGTAGACTGTGGAAAGCCCACGGGAAGCTTGTCCTGCAGACGCGTTTAGCAATCAGGTGTACCTTGCCGTCAGCTTTGGCCGGATTCGTTGCAATCCCAAACGGCAAGTCACGGACACAGATCGGAAAACATATGAAAACACTGACCGGTCCCCCTTTTGACGCTTCTTGGATCCCTTTGGGGATTGCTCGGCATTTGTGACCGTTTCAAGATCAGCAGAAGTTCCATATAATTTAATACACAAAGAATATGGCAGGCAATTCCACATGGCTCCTTAGGCAATCAGAGGCTCCACTGCTTGGTGAGAGGCTCCTCCACCCTGCTCCCAGCAGAGCTGCGACGACTCGTCAGGCCCTTCCTTTCGGCGGCACCGGCTACACTGCCCCACCGGGCTCCGGCTTGACGAAGAAGCAACGACATGGCAGCATCCACAATAAGGACCTTTCTGGGCCGTGACTTGTGCGCCATGGCTTGACTGAAAAAGTCATATACAGAAACAATAAAACATCAACTAACATCAATAAACCGTGCATAAGTGTATGGCTGGGCACACTGAGGACCTTTTCCTTATGGCCTGGGGGCTATCAATATCCAACATAGAACTGCCCGGACAACTACCGTTACGGTCCTGTTCAGAGTGTTTGAGCCATTCTTGGCGTGGAGGTAGGCAGTGCTTGAGTTTAAGCTTCTTCTACGGTTCCTCACTACCTTGAGGACAAGCTGGAGGGTGTCTATGAACTTCCTCCCGAGGAGGAGACGGTTCCGGGTGAGTCTGTGGGCAAGAAGATGGAGACAGCTGCTAGCATGGACTCCATGGACATGCTCTCAGACATTCATGGACCATTTGTCCTTTACATAGTGGGTTTGTTCAGCTTGAGAAAGTTTGAGGTAGGGACATTGGTCATTCTTAATATCCTGTTAGTCGGTCCATTCTCAGATTTGCACCCTGACTGAAGGCCACTTCCATGCACAATCTCTCAGTCAGTACTGGTTCCACGGATAGATCTGGCTAGGTCTTCGTGTAGCCCTCATTTGCATAGACAGCTGGTGGAGGTCCTGGTACCTAGCAGGTATTAGCATGCAGGTAATCGTGCATTTTCTTAGCGCGACATCTATATCCAACTACCGCCCACTTGAGAATTGGATCATCATGGAAGAATGGAAGAAGACAACTCCTTTGTTTGTAGAGGAGGGGGGCCATTTCCAGGGGTGCATTATTTTCCACGGGCACCTTCCATCCCAAAAACTCATACTTTCTGCTGTTCATGTGTTTCAGCCCTTAACTCTCACCTGCATGAGAGAGTTCACCCCTGTCCCGCTAATAAAGAAAGTCTACTTAGTCCACTTTTCGGTGAATCCGTACCTTGTCGATCTTCCAGGTGGATTTTGGTCGCCCCTCGCTTGGCATGCGGAGCGTACCGCCAGGAGGAGCCGGAAGCGCCTGAGAAGCCGCCGATGCCCGAGCGACGCGTGCCCTACTCCATGCACATTGTACCTTGGTCTTTGGGGGCCGTGAAGAACCCTACGAATTGGTCATCAAGATATCGCTGAGATATGTAGAAAGGGACAGAGTCAAGATGTTAGCATAACAGGACAGGTTTTTTCTGGTCAATCCTTGGGCCGGATGAGATCCTTTGGACCGAGCTGGTTACGCGCAACACGCGTCGTGGTTTTCAACACGCCGAAGCGTGGACCGGACCTCCGAAGCTGCAGGTGACCCAGCTTCCTCAGCACAAGCACCTCAAGGAAGAGAGCAATGCCCAGCACTACATCGAGGAAAAGGTGCCCAGCCCACTGATTCTGCCGTTTGGCATCGCAGCAGCACAGACACCCATCAAGATCCATCAAGTCTTCGAGGTGCAATGACTGGTTTTCTACCCCCCCGCAAAAGAAAAGATAAAGTACGAGTATCCTCCACCAGGACGTTCCTTTTGACCTCTGGGCTCACCTGTGCTGCTCCACGTGATTTGAACGTATTTGACGCGACTGGGCCACGTGGAGACCCGCAGTGCCCCGCAGGTGGTCGGTGCGTTGGAAAACTTTGAGGATTTCATCCGGCACGTGGAGGTGCATCTTCAAAAGTCCGACGCTTGGGGCCAAGGGCGATGACGGGTAGGGCGATGGTGCCAGGGCGAGGTGATGAGTTGTTTTTGGATGTTTTTTGGGGGTCGACCATCGTCATAGAGCTCTGGCGGAGACATGGCGGGAGGGAGACATGCACCAGAAAGAATCAGCATGAAAGATCAGGTGGAGAGGGTTCCGCTGAAAGGATTTGCGGATTTGTTTTGTCGGTGCGACCTGTTGTTGATGTTGCTGTCGGTGTGACTTGGGACCTTCGACTATCGGGATCCAACGGGTGGTTTTCTCAACCGCCGACCCATGGGGTGCCGCCTTTCGAATGAACTTGAGGGCGGTACTGGAGAGAGGTTTGGAGAGCCAGACCCCATTTAATCTGACAGACTCAGATGAAGTGCCAGGCGGTCTTGAATGATGATGATATATGTCAGTATGATAAAAATATATATATATATATTGATATTGATATATGATGGTGATGAGGTGGTGCTGTGCTCCACATGGAAAAGTACGCTGGTAATCTAACTCACCTTGTGAACAAACAGGGCATAGTAGCCTGACCGGTGCCAAACCTTGGAAAACGAAGCCGGAAAGGCACAAAAGCCTCAGTGGATAAGACCCAATTTGGAACCTTCATTTGGTTCAGGTTCCTCAACTGAATCAGATCCCCAGCCAACGGCTCATCTCTTCTTAAGGCGCACCCCTTCTCCTTCTCGCGCCGGTCGCGCCGCCTTCTCGCGCCGCCTTCTCGCGCCGGTCGCCACGCCCAAGGATAACTTCCACCGCGAGAAGCGGCCTGAGAAGGCGAAGGCCAAGAGCCCCTTGGTTGACCAGACCTTTTTGAAAGGCCCACCCAGGCCAAGCACATCAAACCACATCAAACCACCAAGAAGTGTGTGTATAAGTTTTAGCAGTGTTCCAGATGGGTGAAAAGGAAGATGGCCCATTGGTGATGCATTGCAGAACTCCAATGGCTGAGATGAAGAACTCCATCGAACCATATGGAACCCTCTTGCCACTCATGCCCACTCAAGGCTCAGCTGACGTGGTGGATGAGGAGGAGGATGTAATCCCATCACCGCCAGAGAAGGAATGGGGGCACAAGGTTCTGATGCCCTACGTCTTCAAGGCCCAGGGCTTCGCCCCTCATGACCGATCGGGTTTGAGCCCAGAGTTGTTTCCTTACTGAGGGGAAGCGAAGAGTGGAAGGAAGGTGAGGTCATGCTGATGATTCTGGTGAACCTATCCGTGTTCATGGATATCAGCTACAGATCATCATGCATGGTGTGTGTGTGTGTGTGTGAGGGACTAAACCTTGATCTCCCAGAAGCATTGGGATTTCGATTGCAAGGAGTCTAATTTGGAGTTCACGAGAAGGTAGGGTTTCCAGCAGAATGATCTGCTTTTATTGTTTCAATGATCGAGCCAGACCAGTGAACTGTTTGGAACAAAATCCGCCAGTTTGTACCTGTATTTTTGGGTGTAAATATGTATATATATATATACATAATGCTTTCGACTAGGGAACCCCCCCAACCAAAGGTTTTTTTGCTTCCAGGGGGTCTTTGGGAGGCCTCCCTATATTTTTCACACACTCCCATATTCACCGAACTGTTGCACGCGGAAGTGTTCCTTGAACTGTTGCACCGATGCAGCTGACTGAGAGAGTGGCAGGCACTTGAAAGTGCCTTTGTAGTTGATCACAGTCTTCCCTTGAACCACTGATAGTGAATGAGGAAGCAGGGTTTCTCGGTTTGCATGCCCCTTTCATTTGTGGAATCACTGCTTGCATCATGGGGGCTTCAAGTCTGAGTCTTGTATTGTTTGGTCTCACCTTCAGTCCGCACCAGCGCATGACGCACCGAGGAAACGTTGCACGCGTTTCGTGTTTCGTCACCTTTCCCGGGCGGTTTTTTCTCACGAGGCGACGGTGACGTTGGTGAACCACCACAAGATTGCGTTGTCCAATCCGGTTGCTTGGGCGGTGAGTGGTGCGGATCGGAGAGAGGTTGCGTGGTTTTTGGTGGCTGAAGGTGGACCTGACTTGGTGGTTCTTTGGTTTTGGCGCCGATGGCATGTTCCAGCCACTTCCCATTGGCCCTTCTGAATGCCCTTTCATTAGCGGGTGAATTCTGCTTGGGGACCACAAAGAATGGAAGGGTGTTTTGACGGTGCGATTTTCCAGTCCAGTCCACGGCACATACACTTTCCACTCCGTCGGGGCCTTGACAGGAGCGTCATCCGAGTCTTTGGACCTCTCCACGGCCCCGAGGTTCGCTCCATGGGTCCATGGGATGCATAGGGAGAGCCTCCAGACAAGCGGAGAATCGCATGTTTCTGAGAGCCTCCAGAGATACTGTGTCTCAGTATGTCATGTGCATTGATGTTCGTCTCCCTCGGACTTGATGGCTGAGGAGAAGCATGCTCAAGCCTCGTTGCAGGACCACGCCACCGCGGGTGGTGTGGTGCTGGGTGTCAAGGGAATGGGCCCCCGCCCAGAACTCAAGAAACGATTGTTGAGAAGATTATTATTGGGAGATGTGGCTTTAGGCATGCCTCTCCTCAAACTAATTATGGTGCAGCCTCATCGCTGCATGTCCCTCACCAACATCATCCAGCAATGAAGAAGCTCTCAACATCTGCTTGGTTGGCTAGACTCATCGTGGTGATAACCATGCCATATCCGCACCTTGGACATCCACCAGATTCTTCTGAGAAATCATTGGAATAAGTTATTGAATACAGAAACAATAAGCTACTAGGAACAAGTGCATCGCTACGTTCGTAAGAAGTGCCTTACTAGTAGTAACAATGTTCGCTATTAGAAACCAGAAGCTAATAGCTTCTTGTTACTACTAGCGTGGCACTTGTTACTACTAGCAAGGAATATATTGCCTCATGTCGGTCGTCTGTTTGGAGTGTGGATCCGTCGGATCCGGAGGAAGCCACCGATCACATGGTGGACGTCTTGCGGAAGTCCTTGCGGGAAGAGAAGAACCGCCACTCGGCCACTCAAGTTTGGGCCTGGCAGCCTGGCAGGAGGATGCAGGAGGAGTTTGTTTGGTATTGTGTTCTTATGTAGCCTTATTTGTTCATAGTTCCCTTCCACTGATTGGTATACCTCATCATTTGCCAGGTCATAACTTAAACAGGTGGTTTTGGGGTTGGTTGAAGTTGGGGTGGTTCTGGAGCGCGCAAAGTCCCACTTTGAGCCAAGAGCGCATGCATATCACTCCCGACACCTGGCTCAAATTCCAAATACCTTAGTTCCAAAACCCTTGCGTTGCGGTTTGAGCCAACGAGTTTGGGTAGAATATAGATTTCAGAACGTGCAGATTCTGAGTGCAGATCGAGCAATTCCTGCCCTTATTCTTCTCCAAAATGACCACACCAATTTTTTTGGGTGATATTTCGGACCCTGGGTTTGACGAAGCAGCTGATGCGATGGAACTGTGTTGATCCAATTCAGCCGAGGAGAGTCGTGTTTTTCTTCGGGTCTCCCTGTTTTGCCCTCGAACTTTTCGTGGTGGAAAGGAGGGGCCAACCATCCTTGGCCGGCAACAATCCTCCTTTCCATGTTTGCCAGATCACTGAACAAGGATTGCCAGATTATATATATATATACCCTAAGGATCCAAGAATCCTTTGAGAAGGTGTTTGGGGTGGGTTTGGAGGGTCCAAGTACCTTTTGAGGAGGTACTTGGATCCCTAGGGATAGGAGAATCGTTCCATGTTGTTCCTTCCATCCTTTGCCAATCATCCGTGTTTTATTGAAGCGGCGGCAAGGAATGATCTCGAACAAGCGCAAGCAAGCTGAGCACCTTGGAACTGCAATCAATGGTGTTTTTGTTCGTGTTCCATCCGAGGTTGGACGACAGTTGGGTAAAGGATAGTGAAGGGTAAGTATGTCCCTAAACCCTAGGGTTCCAACTACCTCCTGAGAAGCTGGGGTGGGTGCCAGGGGTGTCTAACCCCCTTCTGAGGATATGGTTGGAGCCCCAGGGGATATATGTGCCTCTTTGTTTGCCAGTTCATATGTGGTAGCTCTTGGGGCTGCAACATTCAGCCACCGTAGCCAGGGGGGCACAGGGGGCCCACATAGCCACAGCCCTTCCATCACCACATACCATCACCCCCAGCTGCGAGTCAACGCGTCCGATTGGACGTCCAAGATCCCTCAAAACATCAATCACTACGAGTCAAAATGCAAGGAGTGCAGGGCTTGCAGTTGTTTTGACCCTATAAAGACGTACCATGACAGATTTTGCGAGATCTTGTGTTCAATTGTGTTCATCTTGAGTCGCCTGGCATTGTTTGGCCAGGTTGAACTCAACAATGCCACATGGCCCAGCCAGACCGAGGTCGATGCCTGATGACATGGATGACATGGAAGCTTACAACAAGGAAAACGGGGCGCGCCGTCGGGCTCCGCTAAACACGTCCTTGATTCGGTCGGAGCCGTTGGAACCCATGTACATATTTATGTGGTACCGTCATAAGCTCACAAGATTCTACGTACGTAACAGCCTGTGGATGCCTTTGGTGACTCAGTTGATTGTTTCGTCTCTGTCTCAGACACGCGTGCTTCCCACATGTTTTGAAGGATCCCACATGTCCGGAACGCCGGGACTCCCTGATTCGTTTCCCTCGGCACACCTTCCCCGTTCCTCTCAGGTTCATCACCCCAAGTAGAACGGGTCAGTCGACGGTATTGTTTTCAAGTTATATTTCCTTTCGCACTCTTTTGGGATATCACAAGAAGATCAAGAAGCTACTAGAAACAAGTGCCCTACTAGTAGTAACAAGAAGCTACTAGCAACAAGTGCATCGCTTCTAGTAACAAGTGCCTTACTAGTATCACAGACTCAGATCGCCCGGTTTCATCCTCAAGTTGACCTCCCTGACCCTCCAGACCCTCCAGGAGCTGAGCGACGCAGTGGTGGAAGCGAAGGCCAGCGAGGACGACGAAGCGGAGGAGAGACCTTTTGCAGAAAAGTCCAAGTCAAGTCGAACCCGACGAAGCTTGTACAGATGTCCGGAGACCTGAGGTTTACAGGAGAGTGAGAGTGGTTTGTTGGATGACCCCCACTGAATACAGAGAAGTCTGAATGGCACGGCACTTGGCCTTTGTCTCACCAAGATAGGTGTGGTGTTCTCTTTCAAAGAAACTCGGATTTGGTCGCTCCAGGAGGCCTTGTACCAACGCATCGAGGCGGGCGTTGGTCCGGATGGTTGGGCGGTCGGGTGATGGCGAAGAAAGACACGACCATTTGCAACCATCTAGTAAGGCACTTTCTACTAGTAGCGATGCACTTGTTCCTAGTAGCTTCTTGTTACTACTAGTAAGGCACCTGTTACTACTAGCGTGGCACTTGTTCCTATCCTGAGGAGTATTGACCTGCCACCACCGACACCGAGTCACGATCCACAGGCATCCAAGTAGAGTCACGACTCCCACGAAGAGCTCCTGAGGCGTTCGGAACAGGCCGGATGCCCGGCAACTCCTTCGGGCGCAGATTTCGTGGTGAATGTTCCAATTGAATCCAAACATATCCAAACTGATTGGTCGAATGACGACTTGCCAGTGATTGTATGTGATTGTAGTTGATCGTTGGTGATCGTTCCATGTTCCCTAATTGTAGTCTATTGGCCCGTCGGTCAATACCCCAACCCTGTGCCCAGCGAGCAGCAATTGCGGGTTCAGTTGGGCTCAGGGTAAATATTTGCAGCGGTCATGAGCTCTAAGTCAGAGCCTTTATGCCGTACACCCATGACGATCGACACTGCTTACACACTGGCATCGCTTCTGTTTTGGAATGGACTCTCTTTTTTAACTGGGCCGTGCCCTTTGATTCCATTGTCTTGGGTGTACAGTTTGAAGTCTTTACCATTAGCGTTTCACCTGCACACGCCAGGTGATCTCAGGAAAAAAGCCAGAGATGTGTGTTTTTGGGGAGGAGGAATGGGGAGAAGGTCGGGCTGTCAGTATTTGTCAATCAGGTCCTTGACGCAGCAGAACAAATGTTGTTGATCTTCCTCCTGGTGTCAACCAGGGGCGCTTCAATGCCCTTTCTGTGGGAAGTCAGAGTTGATTTGCTTGGCCAGGTAACTTCTCTATATTTTAGGTAATTGTAGAACATTAATTTCATAGAATATGGGTTTTGGTTCCTTTTTGAATTAAATTGAGTGATGCGTGAATGCATACCACGGTCGGTGTGATGAATGTTGCCCTGGTGTACGCCCACCACACCTCCTACGCCCAGGCGTGGCTTGGGCGCGTCCGATGTCTTCGTAGCCCTCTTGAGCCAGGAGCCCGTTCAAAAAGCTAAGCACTGCAAGGCCCAGGAGTGGGTAATGTCCACCTCTGAGTAAGGCTATTTATAAATCAGAAGTCAACAATGTTATATGATCTCGGCATCTAATCTATCCAAACATCAGTCGAGTGGGTCACCCGTGGGTGAACCGCCGGCCACCCTGTAGGCTGGTATAAAAAGGGAATGCGTCATTGGACCTAATTTCCACTCCAGACTCTAGTTATACAATGTTGTGCGTATAATTGCACTGTATTGGTACTATAATATATATATATATATGGAATGTATATATGATATTTGGGACTTTAGTATGGACAAGGAGTGTTCTTAAGCATGTTGGTTGGAATTCTTTCCTGCAGCTCCATTGCTTATTGAACATTTGATGACAGGACCAGCCAACGCAGTTTTACAATCTTTTACTAATTTCACTTTTGTACATATTGTGTTTACTAAATGTGTTGTGCAGTCCTAAAGACCGACACTGTACAGAAGCAAGACCCTTCATGAACATAATATATATGATTATACTAACCAATGAAGCAGGAAAATGGACAGCAGCTTTGCTCATTCGTAGTTCATGAAGGTTTCAATCATATGGTCCGTAATGGATAATGTTCATATTCGCTCCAGCCCTCTTCAGATAAAATAGAACGACTGAGATTATGGAGCATGATATTCCATCTAGAGCCACGTTTGGTTCCCCTATAGGCCTTTAGGCTGAAGCAGCTGAGGCACATTCCCTCTCTATCTCCAAATGCTGCCAAATGCCGAAGTCCCCACTAAAGGTGTCCAAACTAAGCTGGCCCTCTTGAAACCCTCTCAGGTGGGGAAGCTCCATCAAAACGACCTCCAGCCGTGCTGCTTCCAAAAGGGTCGGTCGTCCAGTCGAATCGCCCGACCTTGGCCGCTGGGCCTCGCGGAGGCCAAAACCGCGAGCTGGTTCGGAAGGTGAAGCCAGAGACGGTCACGAGGTGCGGGCAAGCAGCGGTCCGTGTGTGGGGAGGAAGGTGGAGAAAGCGGGGACATCGGACGAAGTGGGGACATCTGACGGCTTTTAGATGGGGAGCAGAGGTGGAAGAAGCGTTGCTCGGAGAGCTGGACCAAGGTGCCTTTAGTTGAGAGACCATGAGAGACCGAGAGAAACAGTTAAAGACGACAAAAAGACAATGTAGGTTTGGTCAGCTGGGTGAGGTGTGCCCGGCAGATTATCATCAGATTCTATCAACTAGTGTCATCGTTTGCAGACTCCAGACATGCTGTATCATTTTTTGCATATTGCTTCAGATGACTGAGACCTGGTGCAAAAAAGTCACATGACTGGGACCTTTCCAAAAACGTGCCGGGACCCGGGACCAGCTTGCGCACCCAACACAAGTGGCGACCGATCCAGGTTCCTGAGATTCATCCGAGTGCTTGGTCCATTGGACACGTGGTTGCTCTTCTTGAAGGCCCGAATAAGTCGGCAGTGTAAGGCAGGGAACAGTAGGCAGTGGATACGGCAGTTTAAGGCAACAACATCAAAAGGTGGCCCTTTCTGTAGGCAGGATGCATGTGAGGCAACAGCTCAAAACACCCTGGGTGGGTTACTCGAAGTTTCTTTTAAGGTGGGAGGGGGGCCACTGAATTTTTAGGCACGGCTCTCGATCTGAAAAACACATTTCATCGGCTCATTCACCGAGGTGAATGGCTGACCACACTACTGTAACTAGACTTAATATAGAAATCGATGATCAGCCAGCCAATATCATGTGCTAGTGAATCCAATCGTCCTACGAATTCTATAGTGCTTTCACAGTTTGAAGTGGAGGAAGGGGCGGAAGCACCTGTTGAAGTCCGACTTCACAGCAAGGGAATATGGTTTGGAACTTGCTATGTTGAGCACTTCCCAGCTTTGGATTTGTGATCCGAACAGCAATGATTGATGATTGCTTGAACTTGGATGATAACGTGCACAAACCTCCGCTCTTTTCCGCGGTCGAACCGACCCGAGACGCCTTTATACGCCTTGACCTGCGATCTGACGCCAGAAGTCGGCGACTCTCTCCGACCATTCGGCAACTCCCCAGGCGCTTTGCAACCCCCAGAACGATGGAGCCATCAGCGACAAGCAGCAGTTGGTGCTCTCCAAGATCGCCTTCGCAGGCGACGTACAAACGGACGCATTGGCGGGAATCGGCTGAAGTGTGAGATCATGTGAGATCAACGAGCGCGGACCGCATGGAGCATCATTTCATTGATCAACGTACGAGACTCCAGCACACTGTACCAGGACCATCCAAAGTGACAAAAATATTTGCCTCCCCACTGATTCGATACAAAAATGACCAAAGTGTAGCACTTCTGACAATATGGTCATTGATTTTTTCGCCTCGAGCGAAAATCTTGAAAGCGAGCACTTTTGTGCAATCAAAGATATTGAAGGGAACAACAGGTTCTGACCACCAATGTCTGAGCCATTTTGGCTCTTTTTGTGGTCTGGAGCCTTGCTTCCACTTCAAGTGCCCCAGATTATGGTATGCATCACACGTCTGATGGATTATGCACACATATGCATACACACATACATGCGGTGACATAGTACAGCATTGGCCAGCCATACCTGGGCGGCGGAGGTACGGCATGGCGGCTCTTATTGAAGCTGGTCATTGAAGTACGCCCCCACCTATACCGCCAATGATCGAGAGTTGCTAGGGAATCTTCCATGGGTAGCTAGTGCTTGGGAAAGCCTTCAACAGGCAGACTTTTGAAGCCATGCAGTTGAAGCACCAGCTTTCTAAACTGCAGGCATTTGGCCAAAGTGTTTGCGTTAAGCCTGAAGTTTGAAGCCATGACCTCACCTGTGGTAGAGGAATGGGTGGGGAATGAGACTGTGCTGTCTCGTGGTGGAGTCGGTCGTTTGGTTTTGGCCCCAAATGAGTTCCTGGGACGAGCTGACCTGGTGACCAACGAGGAGGTTCTGGTACCACTCCTCAAACATTGTGGACTTCGTGTCACGGTGGCTCAGATAGTGGAACATGTGGAGCTTTTCCTCAACTATGCCAGACCAAAGGGAAAACCCAACCTCCCTCGCCCCTTGACTGCAGGTTCATGAGAGCGCTAAGTATAGGGGAGGTAAAGCTTTTTGTCATGATGGATGGTTCTGGTACAGGTTTACATGTTTTTCCTTGTCGCTCAGGCAAGGCTTGCAGATTCCAGGCTTGGAAGCTGAAGCGCTTGGTGAGTGTGTTCAGCAGGGTGGCCAAACGAGGCCACTACCCTAGAGAACGTGGTATCCGGCGTATCTTCACTGGTGCAGGGATCCCACTTCCCTCTGATCCCCGTCACTTGCCCAACAAAGCTATATATATCGCTATATATTTTTTTTCATGGTAGTGCACTGTTGTTCATGCCATCTCTTCAACCCATGCACTACCTTAACATGATCCCAGGTGACTCTCGAGATTCTCTCCAAGTGGACACGGAGGGGGAGGACGAGGGAGAGGAAAGTGAAAGAGTCTCTGCCGTTCAGCTGCACTTCAATGAAAATGTGTGAGACTTCTTCCGTTTTTGAATATTTTTGAATCATAGATCTCATCCCAGTGTAATGCACAATGCTTCCCAAGGATACTGAATTTGAGCTGGAGTCCGGGGAGTCATCTGTTGGGAAAGCTGCTCACCGTGAAGGTAGGCATTTCGTGCTCATGTCATGCAAAGAGTCATAGCTATGGATCCTCTGAGCACTCATCAATTAATTTTTGCCAAGTTGCCGGATGACAGGTGATCGAGATCATCTGGCAAAGGAGGCCGACTCCAACCTCAGGGAGGAGACCGCTTCTGCAGCTTCGAATGTGACCCCTTTACCCAATCATAGTCGATACTTATATGCAAGAGGTGCTGTGTCTACAGGGGTGCTGAGCTGTGAAATTGTATCCTGCAACTTTGAGTACATGGCATATCATATGTATTGTGTGACATGAGTAATAGCCTAGGATTGGAGACAAACCCACCCAGCGCTGAGAAGCTACAGAAGCACGCGGTTGAGCTCTTGGAAGATGGAACAGGGACATGCCGGAAATGTGGTTTGTTTGCTCCATCCAGACTTTGCCCCAACATCCAGAGCTTGTTTTCTCGGCCTTGCACTGGCCAAGATGATGGAAAGGATCTGAAGTTCCAAATCCTGTTTTCGAACGATTGGCTAAAAGAGTTCCAATCCCTGGTGAAAAACTTGAAGTTTGATGAGTGGCAGGTGATGGCGCACTCAGGAAAATCTTTCCGATTCTTAGGCAACGGTAAGCTCTCAGAGATTCCAGAGCCTTGTGATTTTCCCTTGATGCTCCAGCCCATTCCGGCAGAACAGCTGCAAGCAGAGCTTGAGCTTGCTTTGCTGGAAGTGGACCTCTTGAATGAACAGCTTCAGCTTGAAGAGTTGGAGTATGCTTTGCATTTTGAAGAGGTGACTGCGGAGCCCACCAAGAAGTTAGAGCAGAACAACATCATGCCTGAACCTTTTTGTCACTTGGACCCTATGAAATACAATTTAATCAGTTGATGGTTCTGCAAGTATATATATATAGAAGGAAATGGGCATGGATCCTAGGTGCCGGCGACAACTTTGACACCCTTCCTTTTGATGCCCATATGGCCATGGAGAGCTTTGTGATGCCTCCTGAGGCTGGCGCAGTCTTGCAAAACACCATGATCTAGACATCACCCATTGTTCTGTCCAGGCCCCGCTGCCACAAGAGAAGCCTAAGACCTTTGCTGAGATGTCTGGCGCTGGTTTGTCTTCTGAGACCCTTGTTCTTGGAGCTGAGAGTGGGGAGCCAAAGGTGGAGGAACCCGAGAAGGCTCCAAAGGTGGAGGGGTCAGAGGTGGTGGAAC